CAAAGCAATTTGAGAACTATGGCATCGAGGATGTGAGCTATGTGAGTGGAAATGCATCCTTTATGTAGAGTGTGATTGTATTTGAAGAGCATATAAAATGTGATGGGTTGGATGAGGGTCAGGTTCTGCAGCCAAATGTCATGGTCTTTTTATTAATGCATGGTCTGATAGCTTGATGTCGCTACGTGCAAGGATGGTAGAAGTGAGCATTCATCTCCCCTCAGGATGGCAAATGGATGGAGAGCTGAGGATAAGGGGTATGGTTTGTCTGGTGGTCCTGGAAGTGTTTATTGAAGATCCGTTGTCAGAAATGTCCTCCTATTCATAGCAGCCAATCGGGAAGTTTGTTTTGTTGCTGTTTCACATCCAACTGACTTGCCATTATAAGCTTACATAAGACACTAGTGTATGAATAAATGAGTCACTGGTCTAGTGTAATTGGACCTCAGTGCTCTGTGTATAATTTTTATTTATTTATTTATTTTTTTAATTGCTAACATCAAACTCTGAACTCTATAAGACTTCAAGGGCGATGTCACCACTTAGTAAAACAGTGAATGGAATGTTAGTAATTGACTTTACTTTAATCCATGAACAACATTTTTTGGTATCTTAACTTCATTCACAAGCGTGTCTGGCCCAAATTCGTTCATAAGACTTGCAACAGAGTCAAGAGAGAGGGCGGGTCCTTCTCCAGAGAGCTTATTGGATGGTGACGCTTTTCCTTACAGCTATTGGCTTAAAGGAGAGCCAGTCAAGCGTGCCAAAGGTGAAAAAGCCCGGCGGCCATTTTGTTGATCAAGTTCACCATTGTTTATGACTTGAGCTGTTGCTCTGCTGAACATTCCAGCAAACAGGCGGTTAAATGTTATGGATCAGTGGACGGGCAAGAGGCAAGTATCTTTAGTTAAAATCATTGTTTACGCTAGTCTTGTTATTCAAAAGATTTATAAATGTTTTAGTCTAAATGTTTGGTAAAGTTATATTGCAAAGCTTCCCTTCATGTGCATAGCATGTGCACCGCTAGGAAAAAGGTAATGGTTCAGTTTCATTGCAATGGCTTTGGAGTTTTGGCTGTCATTTGCTGGAGAATATGGTTGAAGACACAGCAGATGCGTTGAAGTGGAAGGTTTGATGTTTTGTTGAAGTTGTTGATGCAATTGTTGGAGTTGTTTTGAAGTAGTAATAGTAGTAGTTGTTGTTGTTGCTGCATTTGTTGTTGCTGCATTTGTTGTTGCTGCAGTTGTTGCTGCTGCTGTAGATTGTAGCTTGTAAATTATAGCTAGTAGCTTGTAGATTATAGCTGGTAATTTGTAGATGGTAGCTGGTAGATTGTAGCTGGTAGGTGATAGCTGGTAGATGGTAGCTGGTAGCTGCTTTGGTTGTCCATGCTGGTTCAGAGTAGGTTCTTCAACGAAGCTAGCTACGGTGAAGCTGCCTCTTCGAAACGAAGATAGCAATGGAATAAACCCCAGGGTATTTATAGTAGTTTAGGAGTCATCTGATTGGATCGTAGTGAATTGGATAATGCCGATCAGCTGCTAGCAATCATAAGCACGTGATCCTCTCGAAATTTGTTTATACATAAACTTCACATAATTTCTTAAATATCAGCCTCTACCAAATAGTAGATGTGTCAGTTTATAAGTACTGGTATTAATACATATACTATGACAAATCTAAAAATATGAAGAATAAGACCAATTTATAAAAAAAAAAAATAATCAAAATAAAACATTTTTGAATTCTAAATTATTTCAAAAACATTTCAGATTCTCATTTAACATACACACACATATATATAATTTTTTATAAATATAATTATTTATAATTATTTTTTATTAAAACCAATTACGTGTAGTAGTGCAACAGAATTATGTTTATTAGATTTTTTTGTAAACCAACAATGCTGTGTGTGTGTATACTATGATTTATATAACTTGAAATAACTATTCAAATAACATTTTTTAAATCACTTTATCAGTCATTATTTAGAACTGTGAAAATATGGTCAAGCATGTGGTAGAGCAGGCAGTTAAAGGGATATTCATGTTGGAGCTGGACTAAAAATAGCTTTAGAAGGGTTCTACAAAGAGATGCAGTTTTGTTGGGTTAATGGGTTTATTATATGGCTCTATCAGTCTGGTCAAAGCCTGAGCATGTTCATTTGTTGTCGCCTCTCAGTGTGCATATGTATGTCTGCATACATCCATGACGAAAGATAGACAGGTGCCGGGATGTGCTATAAAAGCCCCATCTTGAGGAAACCCCTCCCCTGCTTTGCATGTCTCATTTTAATACATTGAGTGGGCCATCTGTAATCCATTCATCTCATTCAAAAAGCCGTTAGAAGTGCTCATTCCTCCCTTTTTGCCCTTTGTGGCTCATTAGCATAAACTCAGAACAACATGCGCAAACACACTCCGGGCCTCCATAAGTGTGTTTACACACGATTTGAAATCCGCACACCCCAAAGCCAAGCTGATTATGCTCAAATGTGTATTTTGTATGAAATGTGATTTTCATATCACAGCGGGGAATCGCTTTGAATGTTAATATTCCTCATTATTATTTCAAAAGGCAGTTTTTTAGTAGCTGTATCAATGAGCCATCTCTTTAATTCATTACATCGCATCAATAAACATTTAACACCCACGTGCACAGAGTGTAGCCATTCTTTTTTCCCACTCATTTTTCATAAAGCTCCTCGATTCCTCAGCAGAGTGTGCTGGTGTTGACTAGCCATTAATCACAAGTCTTATCTGCCACACTGGACATTGTTTTTATGGCATCCTCAAGTCAACATGACAGCTCATATCAGTGTTTCAGTGGCTGTTTGCCGCCAAAAGCTCACTTCTCCCAGTCTGCTCAAAAACTGGAGGGAGATACGGTGAAACACAGCAGATGAAGCATCACACATTCTCTCTGTGTAAAACTCTCGCTCTCTTTCTTTACACAACTATGACAGGTATAAGCTGTGGACCAGAAGTTTACAGGGACTATTCAATTTATATTTAATTCATAAATCCTTGTTTTTAGCAGCAGTCGATTGTGTTATTTTACTCATTGTAAGAAAGGTAGCATGTACATGTCAACTTACACTAACTCCAACCTAACAGTCTAGTTATAATCTAATGAGAATTAGTTGGCATGTAGGTGGAACTTAAATTCAACAAACGGACCATCAAAATAAAGTCAGAACAAAAAGGAGAATTGTGTCTTCTTTCAATGGTTGGGAGAGTTAAACGTGCAATTACAAAAAACACCAACAAATTGAAGAAAAAGATCTTCATGCTTTCCATAGCACACATGCTGCAAATGCTCACAACGCAAACACATAAAAAAAAAAAAAACATTCTACAATTTCTCATAGCGCAAACAATTTAATAAAACATGCTGCTTTTTCTCTCTACGCAAACAATTTACGAAAACATGCTGCATTTTCTCACGTCACAACTCTTTCAAATAGCACAACGGAAATGTTTCAAGGGGACCTGGCGTGGCTTATCCAGCTATTTAGGTTATGGTTATTGAGACTAATAAATTCTAAAGACATGGAAATCCGGATCTTAAAACAAACAAAAAATTCACCTTTCAAAGATCACCTACAACTTCACTGAGGAATAGTCATGGCACAGTTTTTGGAATTGAGTGTGTTTTCTTAAATTGCAGCACATTAAGCTCTCTCGACCACCAGATCTTCTGACCAAGTAAAGTGTCTACCACTTTTGATATGACAAAATGAGAGAAATAAAGTATTACAATAAATCACATTTTTTACCATTGGTGATTAAATGTACCAATTGTCAATTATCTTAAACCCAAGAGGTGAAAAGAGTACTGAAAAATCATACCTAAGTAAAAGTACCATTACTTCTCTAAAAATGTAGTGCAAATAAAGTATCTGTTGTAAAAATCTGTTGTACTCAAGAGGAGTGAGTATCAGGCTGTAAAAAGCTGATGCAGTTTGTGGATGTGTGTAAACGTAAAATTCTGTAGTGCATTATTGCCCTGCAGCACACAACATCATAAGATTATATTGAGTTCAATTAAGTTCGATGTCAGGTGACCAAAATTTTATGTCTAGCCAGCATCTAAGGACAACCTTATTTTGATGTCCAATAACAACATCAAATGACGTTGATATTTGGTTGATTTTAGGTTGTGTTAGAAAGTGACCAAAATCCAACATTGAGCCAACATTTTAAACCAACATCATATTAACGTCAAATACTGACATTTATTCGTCAGGTATGGCAACCAAAATCCATTGTCTGATAGACATCATAGTGGTAACGTCCACACAACGTCAAGCTGTTACATCATTAAACGTGGATACTTGGTTGATTTTAGATTTTTACGTTGGACATTGGCATTGGCATGATTGTGAATTCACCATGTATAAGCACTACATTTAGATTGTAATATATGTACATTCTAACCTCAAACTGTCATAGCATTCAAATTTCATCCAGGCTAGGACAATTGTCAAAAGGCTAATTTAAGTTGTCTTTTACAATCTGCCAATTATTGCAGATTTGATGAAAAAAGGCTATAAATGATCCACCTCCTGCAGTTCCAATATGCGGTATAGCTAGGGCTCCTATCAGTACCACTCAATTATAAAACATGACAAGCTTACCATTGTAAATCAGGCTAAGGTAAGGATAGAATTTTAAACATAAGCTAGGTATGTACTTGCTTAAACACTAGTTTTTCGTATATTAAACCCAAAAATGGACTGTAGCTTTAAATGTATTCTTTCAATACATTGTTCCAATGTTAGACTGTTTGTAAAGGCAAATATCTAGTCAACCAATCACACAGCAGCGACTCAATAACAAAAAAAGCTAGACAAAGCTGACAAATATTGTAAAAAAAAAAAAAAAAAAAAAAAGAATATATATATATATATATATATATATATATATATATACATATATATATATATATGTTGTGTCTTTTTTAATGAACATCAGGTAAGAACATGTGGCAGGAGAGGTAATTAGTTGCCAAGTGTCATTAATTTACGGGTCCTTTTCGCTGCCCTATCACAATACGGCATACGGGCTATAAAAAGGGGGAAGCATTTGCTACCTGGGATGCGTCACTTGATTAGTTGCGGCGCCGTGAGCGCGCGTCGTCACTTCCCACACCTGTTGAGGGCGGTGAGGGGTTTTGATCGGGCTGGAAGTTGCTTCGCCTGAATTGTTTGGCTGCAATCGCCAACGCTAGAACGCGTGTAAGGACTGGAAAAGGTAAGCAAGCGTCTGTCTCATGTTTTGGTTGTCGCGATCGTTTTGGAAACGCTGTGTCCACTTTTCTCAGCTGCGAGAACCAGATGCGGGTGCGCGACTGTTTGTTGGCTGTGCCGGCTGTTGACTGAAATGTACGTGCTATCTGCCTCTTAAGTGACTGATTGAACCCCGATTCCCTTCGGTGAGCAGTAGGTAGGTGTTTGCATGTAGTTGCAAATGGCTTATAGCAGATTTTGGACTTTATCATGACTATTGATTTATTTGTTCAGGCTGGGTGGCACTCTGCGAGGGGAGCTCCGTCGGGCGCTCCGCATCCGTGTGCGGCTACAGTGCTGTCCTGTTTCCCGTGTTTTTTTCTGTTTTCTTAGATTTTGTCTTTTTGTTTTCTTAATTGTTTATCTTTGAGTTGTTCTGTTTTTGGTTTACACAAGGACTATTTAACTTTATTTTTTTTGTTGGTACATTTATCTTCGTTTGTTTGGGTTTTCATTTTCTTTATTGGATAAATCTATATAGTGCGGCTGGATTTATTTGTTTATTTTTATTATTTTGACATTCATCCAGCATGTTTTGATTTTTCCTTACATTTTTGTGTAAATCTTTACTGTTGTATTTTCATTGTTTCAGTTATTTTCTCTTTAATTAATTTGGTTTAAGATTTAATTGTTTCCTCCCTTTTAAGGTGGAATTTAGTTGCTCTTTCTTTGTTTTCATTTATCAACTTCATTACATTTTGTATTTTGTTTATTTAATCATTTACTTGTGTAAACTGATTTATTCTTTTGTTTAATTGCAGGGCAGTGGTCCGACTTTTCGGCTGGTGACAGAGCCAGAGCTCCCTGGGGTGGAAGGCTAATTTTATTGAACATTTTAGAATTTCTCACAGTGTGTAGTGATCACTGTGTGCTGGTTTGTGCGTGTGGGTGCTATCTTTACACAGTGGATTGCAGTGGTTTTCACTTGCCTGAAGTATAGCCTGGCCACTTTCCCTAACGCTGGCGAGCTCTGGCCCTGGAGCACCTTCATAAAATTTACAAACTGTCAGTGTCAATGTCAACATATTGGTTTTAATGCTGTTTTTATTTGAGATTTGAAAATAAAGAAATCCTATTTTTGTACCGTGCCAATGTCTCTGACTGCAATTTGGTGGAACGAACTTGTGCGTGCCTTTTATATGGGTGGTGCGTGTATTTAAATTCTTTGGGTGAAATTCCCAAGGTGGCGTAGTCGGGTAAATCATTAATATTGTCAGATTGGAGGTCTAGCTCCATCAGCCCACCTGCCCCCCCCCGCCACATCTTGGCGTAGTCGGCAGGGTCCACCATAATTTAGCGTCAGAGACATTGGTGTTTTTTTTCTTTTCTTTCAGTTTTTTTTTCAGCTTCTTTTTGGGAAACAGGACGGCAGTTTGTGGTCTTTTGTAGCCTCGTTTAGTGGTTCCCTCCTTCCTGGGTAAGTGTATTTTCCTCTCCTTATAATAATGGATGAAGAACTACAAGAATTGCGAGATTTGGTTGTTCAATTAAGAGCTGATAACGCGCGACTGCAACAGGCTCAGGCACCGGTTGGGTTGCCTGTCCCTGATGCTGCCCTCCCTAGCACCTCTGCGGTTCCGCCTGTTACGCCGCCGCCATCTGGCGTTACACCAGAGCGGTTTATTTTTGTGCCACGAGATCGGCGGTGCCCGAAGTTTAATGGTAAATCGGGTTTGACTATTGACGAATGGGTTGAGGAGGCACAGGCATGCATGAGGTTGCGCTATATGTCAGTAGCTGATAAAGCTTTCTTTTTAATTGATCATTTAGAAGGAGAGGCCAGAGAGGAGATCAGATATCGTTCTGATTTAGAACGTGGGGACCCCAACCGAATTATTCAGGCATTGCGTGACGTCTATGGTTGCTCTCAGTCATATGTAGCCTTGCAAGAAGCCTTCTTCTCAAGGAAGCAACTCGAGGGTGAGACTCTTTTAGAGTTTTCTCTTGCACTCATGGGCTTATTAGAAAGGGTTAAAAATAGAGCGCCACACGTTTTCCCCAATGCAGAAATTTTGTTGCGTGACCAATTTGTGGAGCATGTCACAGATAGTGCCCTGAGACGCGAGTTGAAACAGATGGTTCGTCGCCAGCCTACTGCCACCTTATTAGAGGTCCGTAGTGAGGCAATTAGATGGGAACAAGAGGGGATGCCCGGGGGAGCAAGGGGACGTAGTCAGTCGGTCCCGTTAACTTATGGTATCCAATATGGGGTACGCAGTGAAACACCTTTGGGGGTAGTTAGATCATCACAACAGTCAGAGTTGGGTGAACTAAGGGAAATGCTGCGGCAACAACAACAGCAGTTAAACCAGTTAACTCAAACATTTGCACGATTTCAAACGTCACATGCTCAGAGTAATTCCTCTCGATCAGGTCCAATTGTTTGTAGGCGGTGTCAACAGCCAGGTCACTTTGCCCGTGATTGTAGGGGGCAAAGGAGTTTCCCACGCCCTCCTCAGGCTGCATCTGGTTTTGTTACAGCTGAGAATAGACGACAGCGCTCGCCCCAACCGTCGGGAAACTAGCCCCCACCAGGCTGCGGAGTCACAGCCTGGGTGGGGAAGGTATTGACTCAAGTAAGATTCTTGCACACCACTCAGTTTCTAAATTGATTTCTCCTTGCCCACATGTGACCGCTCTCATAGGGGGTGTTGCAGTGCCCTGTTTGGTTGACACCGGCTCGATGGTGTCAACAATTACAGAGGGTTGTTTTCGGCAACATTTTGAGCCATGGGGCCTGGACCGCCTTCAAAGTTGTCAGTGGTTGCAGTTACGAGCAGCTAATGGGCTCACTATTCCATATGTGGGCTACTTTGAGTTAGATGTAAAACTTTGTGGCAAGTTGGTTACTGGGTGCGGCCTTCTGGTGGTTCGGGACCCTCCAGATGGTATGAGTCTGGAAGTTCCTGGGGTACTGGGGATGAACATCCTCTCCCGGTGCTACCAGGAACTGTTTGGACAGCATGGTAATGCTCTGTTTAACCTACCTGTACTAACACAATTGCCTAGTGTGTCGAGCGCCTTACAGTACTGTCATCAAGTAAGTGCTAGGAAACCTTCTGATCATGTGGGGTGCGTGCGGGTTCGTGGGCGTAGAGTGTGTCGCATCCCGGGTGGCACAATGAAGTTAGTGGCTGCAACCTGTTCGGCCCACTATTTTGGCCATGTCGTTTTGTTTGAGCCCCCAGAGTCTGGTCTTCCTGCTGGACTTTTGGCATCACCAGCTTTGGTAAGCGTAAATCGGGGAACAGTCTATGTACCAATAGTAAATGTTGGTGCAGTGGAGGTAGTGCTTTGTCCTGCAACAATGATGGGTAATTTGAAAGAGGTCTATATAGTTAGTCTGCCAGCTGGGGTTAGTGAAGAAAAACCAGTGGCTGCTATGATTCAATCTCATAGTGTGGTTGGGAGTCCTTCTTTTTTTCAACAGATTGAGTCACTTGATCTATCTGTTCTGTCTCCACCTGAGCAGGGTCAGGTTCGGGCTCTTCTGCAGAAGTACCAAGCTGTGTTTTCGGATCATGAGAGTGATCTGGGTTGTACCAGTCTTATCTCCCATGACATACCGCTGTTGGATGATGCTCCAGTGCGCCAACGCTATCGGCGAATACCACCATCTGAGTATGAGGTAGTAAAAACCCATATTAATCAGTTGTTAGAGGCTGGAATAGTTAGGGAGAGTTGCAGTCCTTATGCGTCCCCGATAGTCTTGGTAAAGAAGAAGGACGGTGGCCTGCGCATGTGTGTAGACTACCGTCATTTGAATGCCAAGACTAGGAGGGATGCATTCCCTCTGCCTCGCATTGAGGAGTCCTTGGACTCCTTATCTGGTGCTCGCTGGTTCTCTACGTTGGATTTGGCCAGCGGGTATTTGCAAGTTCCAGTTTCTGAGCAGGATAAGCCGAAAACTGCGTTCTGTACACCGTTTGGATTGTTTGAATGGAACCGTATGCCCTTTGGCCTTTGTAATGCTCCAAGTACATTCCAAAGGTTGATGGAGCGGTTATTCGGGGACCAGCGGTGTCAGTCCCTGCTTTTGTATCTTGATGATGTTGTGGTGTTTTCTTCCTCCATAGACCAACATTTGGAGAGGCTGGAGATGGTACTAGGTCGTCTAGAGAAGGAAGGGCTCAAGGCCAAGCTGGAGAAATGTGCTTTCTTCCGGCGTGAAGTAAAGTACTTGGGTCACGTTATATCTGCTCAGGGGGTAGCAACTGATCCAGGTAAAATAGAGGCGGTCACGCATTGGCGCTGCCCGGGGACCGTGTCCGAGCTACGAACATTTCTTGGCTTTGCGAGCTATTATAGGCGTTTTGTGGAAGGGTTTGCTAAGCTGGCCGCCCCCCTCCACCGATTAGTGGCAGAAGTTGGAGGGAGTAAGTCAGGTAAGCATAGAAAACAGAGTTTGACTCATGTATGGACCGAGCAGTGTCAGATGGCTTTTGAGGCCCTAAAGAGGAAGTTAACATCCGCCCCAATATTAGCTTATGCAGACTTCTCAAAGCCTTTCATCCTGGAGGTAGATGCCAGTTATGGAGGTTTGGGGGCAGTTTTGTCCCAAGACTTCGAAGGGAAGGTTCGACCCATCGCCTATGCCAGTCGTGGTCTCAGGCCCTCAGAGCGAAATATGACTAATTATAGCTCAATGAAACTAGAGTTTCTCGCCCTTAAATGGGCTATGGTTGAAAAGTTTCGTGAGTATCTTTTGGGGCACAAGTGTATTGTGTTTACAGACAATAATCCTCTGAGTCACTTGGCTACAGCAAAACTTGGAGCCACAGAGCAACGTTGGGCCGCTGAGTTAGCCGCATTCGATTTTGAGGTCAAGTACAGGGCAGGAAAGAGTAATGGAAATGCTGACGCGCTCTCCCGCCAGAATTTGGTTGACAAGAGTGTAGTTGGGGAGTTAGCAGTTAGCTCTAAGATTCCCGAAGCCTTGCAGCAGGCCATTAGTAAGGGCTGTCCGGTCCAAGCAGATATGCGGACTATAAGCACATTGCCGGGCTACTCTGTCCCTGACCTTCGCTGTATGCAAGAGGCTGATCCTGTTATTGGACCAGTAATAAGGTTCTGGGAGCAGGGCCAACGTCCAGGATTAGAGGAGCGGAAACTTCTAACCAAACCGGTCTTGACCCTACTCCAGCAGTGGAATAGGTTTGAGGAGAGGGAAGGAGTTTTGTACCGCAAGATATTCCGTCCTGATGGAGGGGAAGTATGTCATCAGCTTGTGTTACCTGATGTTTTGAAGGAAGAGGTCTGGATACAGCTGCACCAACAGCATGGCCATCAAGGAGTAGAACGCACCAGTGAGTTAATCCGACAGCGTTGTTATTGGCCTAATATGTTGGCTGATGTTACCCGGTGGTGCCACGAGTGTGAACGCTGTCAACTTGCCAAAGACACTGGGCCGGTGGCACGGGCATTCATGGGCCACCTGCTGGCCTCAAAGCCTAATGAAATTCTTGCAATCGACTTTACCATGCTCGAGCCTTCATATTGTGGGAAGGAGAACGTGTTAGTGATGACCGATGTGTTTAGTAAGTTCTCTATGGCAGTGTCCACTCGTGACCAAAGAGCAGAGACTGTGGCCAAGGTTCTAGTTGAGGAATGGTTTTACAAGTATGGGGTTCCTGGACGTATCCATTCAGATCAGGGCCGCAACTTTGAATCCACTCTTATACGGCAGCTTTGTGAGCTGTACCAGGTAAAGAAATCCCGTACCACCCCATACCATCCAGCTGGCAATGGGCAATGTGAGAGATTCAATCGCACATTACATAACTTGTTGCGAACCTTGCCAGACTCTAGAAAAAGGGACTGGGTGTCTTGTCTGTCACAGGTGATATTTTGCTATAACACCACCCCTAACCAAGTGACAGGAGAGTCTCCACATTACCTCATGTTCGGTCAAGAGCCCCGGCTGCCAGTAGATTTCTTGCTGGGCCAGGTACCAGAACCCACTGTAGGTAGTGTACATCACTGGGTCTTGGAACATCGTAGGCGGTTGCAGGTTGCCTTTGAGGGAGCACAGGGACGATTGAAGGCTGCAGCAGCCAGGCGGAAAAACCTGCATGACCAGCATGTTCGAGATCAACCCCTGGTGGAAGGTCAGTTAGTTTATCTAAGGGACCACGCAGTAAGGGGACGCCACAAAATTAAAGACTTGTGGAGTTCTGTTGTCTATCGGGTCGTCCACTCCGCTGAGGAAGGAGGGGCGGTATATGCCATTGCACCAGTTACAAGCCCAGGTAAGATGAGGCGAGTACATCGGTCACAGTTGAAGGCCTGTGTTCCGAGAGGAAAGGTCTGTAGTGACCAGCCGAAAGGTGTTGTGGAGATTCAAGAGGACCCTCAGGAGGATGCTCAGGAGTTGGATTTAGAGGCTGTCGATTTGGCGGTGATGGTGCCAGTGGTCCCTCAGGCCACTCAAGGGGTGGGACCTCGAGATGGCTTGCACCCGATGCAGTCTAGGGTTCAGGAAGATTTGCCCGGGGACCTCTCTCCTGTAAGGGCCATTGTGGTTGAACCACAAGGACCAGGGGTAGAACCTGTAGCAAGGGAAAGGGAAGTACTTACCGAGCCTCCTAACGATAGTGTGGTCCCTCCTCGTCGTTCAGCCCGAGTTGGGGCAGGACAGCATACGAACTTGCATCATCTTCCCCGAGGTGTAGGAGAGGTGAGAAGCGGACCTATGAATCATGAAGTTGTGTCTAATAACATTTCGGTGTTGTTTAGGCCTTGGAGTTAGTATGGTGGGCTAGTGTTTAATTTGCTGATTTCTGGTCCATCGTCGGGGCGCCGATGCAAAAGGTGGGGGTAGATTGTGGCAGGAGAGGTAATTAGTTGCCAAGTGTCATTAATTTACGGGTCCTTTTCGCTGCCCTATCACAATACGGCATACGGGCTATAAAAAGGGGGAAGCATTTGCTACCTGGGATGCGTCACTTGATTAGTTGCGGCGCCGTGAGCGCGCGTCGTCACTTCCCACACCTGTTGAGGGCGGTGAGGGGTTTTGATCGGGCTGGAAGTTGCTTCGCCTGAATTGTTTGGCTGCAATCGCCAACGCTAGAACGCGTGTAAGGACTGGAAAAGGTAAGCAAGCGTCTGTCTCATGTTTTGGTTGTCGCGATCGTTTTGGAAACGCTGTGTCCACTTTTCTCAGCTGCGAGAACCAGATGCGGGTGCGCGACTGTTTGTTGGCTGTGCCGGCTGTTGACTGAAATGTACGTGCTATCTGCCTCTTAAGTGACTGATTGAACCCCGATTCCCTTCGGTGAGCAGTAGGTAGGTGTTTGCATGTAGTTGCAAATGGCTTATAGCAGATTTTGGACTTTATCATGACTATTGATTTATTTGTTCAGGCTGGGTGGCACTCTGCGAGGGGAGCTCCGTCGGGCGCTCCGCATCCGTGTGCGGCTACAGTGCTGTCCTGTTTCCCGTGTTTTTTTCTGTTTTCTTAGATTTTGTCTTTTTGTTTTCTTAATTGTTTATCTTTGAGTTGTTCTGTTTTTGGTTTACACAAGGACTATTTAACTTTATTTTTTTTGTTGGTACATTTATCTTCGTTTGTTTGGGTTTTCATTTTCTTTATTGGATAAATCTATATAGTGCGGCTGGATTTATTTGTTTATTTTTATTATTTTGACATTCATCCAGCATGTTTTGATTTTTCCTTACATTTTTGTGTAAATCTTTACTGTTGTATTTTCATTGTTTCAGTTATTTTCTCTTTAATTAATTTGGTTTAAGATTTAATTGTTTCCTCCCTTTTAAGGTGGAATTTAGTTGCTCTTTCTTTGTTTTCATTTATCAACTTCATTACATTTTGTATTTTGTTTATTTAATCATTTACTTGTGTAAACTGATTTATTCTTTTGTTTAATTGCAGGGCAGTGGTCCGACTTTTCGGCTGGTGACAGAGCCAGAGCTCCCTGGGGTGGAAGGCTAATTTTATTGAACATTTTAGAATTTCTCACAGTGTGTAGTGATCACTGTGTGCTGGTTTGTGCGTGTGGGTGCTATCTTTACACAGTGGATTGCAGTGGTTTTCACTTGCCTGAAGTATAGCCTGGCCACTTTCCCTAACGCTGGCGAGCTCTGGCCCTGGAGCACCTTCATAAAATTTACAAACTGTCAGTGTCAATGTCAACATATTGGTTTTAATGCTGTTTTTATTTGAGATTTGAAAATAAAGAAATCCTATTTTTGTACCGTGCCAATGTCTCTGACTGCAATTTGGTGGAACGAACTTGTGCGTGCCTTTTATATGGGTGGTGCGTGTATTTAAATTCTTTGGGTGAAATTCCCAAGGTGGCGTAGTCGGGTAAATCATTAATATTGTCAGATTGGAGGTCTAGCTCCATCAGCCCACCTGCCCCCCCCCGCCACAAACAGTTCCTCAACATTATACCAACATACATAATTGCTTGTATAATTTAAAACAATATATTTTAACAATATTGTCAAAATCACATCCATTAAGATTGTAACATTTTTGCTTTATTTTAAGGTTTTTGTTATTTAGATGGCACCTTCATTTTTTTACAGCACTCCATATAATGAACACATCTGAATCTGAGACTTTTCTGCTATACGTTTAAGGACTTCAAGATCTGTGTATATCAAGATCTGTACACACACACACACACACACACACACACACACACACACACACACACACACACACACACACACACACACACACACACACACACACACACACACACACACACACACATATATATATATATATATATATATATATATATATATATAGTTGAAGTCAGAATTATGAGCTCCCTTAGAATTAAAAAAAAAAAGAAGTTTGTAAACACTTGTTAGAGAGAGTAAATTGTGAGCAAATAAATTTTTGTTTGTGTAAACTAATCCTTTAAAACTCCAATAAACAAAACAGAACAGGAACCTGTTTCCTTCCAAAAGAGACAAGAGAATTCTGCAGCAAACTAAAACAATTGCAAAATTGAGAAAAGTTCACTTGTTATTCTAACCCAAAGTATTCTTTGATTGTATTGTTACAATGCATTATAAACAAGAAGGTCACCCCATGCATAAAACGAAGTCCAGGTGAAAGCGAGGGTCTGGACCTTTAAAGCAGCCACATGATGAATGCGTTTGGCAGGCCGGTGGATGATAGAGTGGAGCCAGCGATACGATAGCGCCAGGCTCTTTGAAGCCTGGCAGAGCCTGAAGGCATGACTCCACAAGTCCTTCAGCCTCTCATGAGTTAATGTCCTAATCTGTTTTCAGCGCAGCCCTCACAGACATGCGCAACGGCCAAGGGCAAAAACTAATGAAATGCTCTTTTAGCCAGCCATCATTAATTGGTCACAGTTAGAGAGGGAATGTCAACACGAGGCTATTATCTACTCCCAATCTCAACAGACCTCCACACAAATGTTCCAGGGCTTTCACAGCTCCTTCCATCTCTGTCAAAACACCTTCACCAGCCTTTCTTACAGCCACCGAGAAGGTGGAAAGAAAGACTCAGTTTCACCACTGTACTTAATTCATGTATTATTTTTTTAGATATATATGTTTTTTTTTTTACTTAAATCCTGTGCCTGCAGTAGATTTCTTTTATAAACATTTTGCATGTAAGTACATCATGGAAAGTTAAAATGATCTGCTTTAAATCATAATAGGTATTCAATTTTTTGCTATATATTTTTCGGCTTTTTCAGTTGGCATTGCTGTGTTGAGTTTGCACGTTTTCTTCGTGTTGGCGTGGGTTTCCTCTGGGTGCTCCAGTTTCCCCCTCAGTCCAAAGACATGCGCTACAGGTGAACCAAATAAACTTAATTGGCCTTAGTGATATGTGTATGTGTGTGTGAATGTGTATGGATGTTTTTCAGTGCTGGGTTGCACCTGGATAGGCATCCGCTGTTTAAAATATATGCTGGTTAAGTTGCCTGTTCATTCCACTGTGGCAACTCCTGATTAATAAAGGGACTAAACCTAAGGAAAATGAATGAATGTTTGGTAAACTATGAACAAACCCAATCCGGTTATAAAATAATGTAAAAAAATAATGCAACTATTGGGTTTGTACATATTTTACTTATTACATAAATATGCAAATACACTTTGATTTGAAAAGGTTTTTGTAGTTTTTGTTGCCTTTACAACTAAAATGCTTAAATAGAAAACAATTCATGTTTTGTCTAGTAGGTTTAAACTGTAATGTTTGCAATAATATTAAATAAGTGTAGTAACTAGATTTTTTAAAAATGATAATAACAAAAATAAATAGCGTGGTATGGTGGTTAGCACAATTGCCTACAATATGGGTGATTTGGATAAACTAAATGTTAATGAGTGTATGGGTGTTACCCAGCACTGATAGTACAACATCACAGAAAATGCGATTTTTATTATCGACTTTATTATAAATGGAAAGGTAATGCTCTTAAACTTTTACAGAATGTTTGGTATTTAAATGTATTTTCATTGATAACAATGCATTTGCAATTTGTAAAAAATTCAGTCCTTTAGGAAGATTCACCTTATTCTTTGTGTACGAGCAGGTGCAGCCATTTCAATCTTTTTGTCTTAAGAATTCCAGTCTCATTCACTTCATTAGGTAGTAGAGTGAAATCGGTCTATTTACTGTATGCTTGAATCAAGTTCAAGTTTAAGTTGCTTTATTGGCATGACATTTAGAAAGTTGCATTAAATATACATGCGAAATGCAATATATTACCATCATTAATTTAATATTTTATACAGTAAATAAGAAATAAACTAACATATAATACAATCAATCTGATCATATCACATGCTCCTCTCAAAATTAGTTTGTAAAACTTCACTTATGATTTTGTTTCTGATATCAAACCGGGTATCTAACAATCCTTTAAAAGAGTTAATCTGTTAAGAATAACCAATCAAAATCATTCGAATTTAGAGTTACCAAATATACCTGACCTGAAAATCTACATTTCTCACTATTCCCTCTCACTCAAATGCTTCTTAACTTTCTTCTCTTGCTTACAAAACAAGATGTTGGAAACCAGCTGCCATTTATATGCACATAGGAGCAAAAAAAAAAAAAGAGAGACTAAATTAGATATTTTTCAAATTTGGATGAAATGAACCAATAAGGAGGCATTGTGCACATCAAAAACAGACAAAGTAAAAAATTTGTCCCATTTTATTGGGTCTCAGCAAACTTCCAGGTGAATGCCCAAAACTATATGAAACTGTAATTAATTCTATATTATTTGGCATTTGGCAAAACAGTACATTAAGTAAAACAATGCTGCAAAGAAAACGTTCAAACTTGACAACAATGTGGCAAAACATCATTCATTTCCTTCAGCTTAGTGCTTTTATTCATCAGGGGTCTCCACAGCTGAATGAACCGCCAGCTTATCCAGTATGTGTTTTCCTTTCCAGCTGCAACCCAGTACTGTGAAATACCCATCCACACTCATTCACACATTCATACACATGCACAAAGGCCAATTTAGCTTATTAAATTTACTTATAGTGTACGTCTTTGGACTGTGGGGGAAATGGGAGCACCTGGAGAAAACCCATGCCAACAATGGGAGAACATACAAACTCCACATAAAAATTCCAACTGGCTCTAACCAGTCCTTCTTGCTGTGAGGCGACAGTGCTAGTCACTGAACCACTATGTTGCCCCGGGCATAGCATTGATTAAAAGTTGCACATCTGTTTATGTTTTATTTTGATAACAAATTATGTCTATACGGATATGGTGTGCACTTATAATGGCTGGTACTCACAATACCAAAGTTCTCAATTCAATTTTATAAAAGCATTTACTACTTGTATTTCGCTGTTATTTACATGTATTGGGTAATGGCTTATAATGGGTATCCTTAGATGGCAGACTCTGCAGCACTATATAAAGAGCTCATCAGCAACTCGTCTGCAATGTGATGGTTGCAGTGTCTGCTACAATTTCATTAGCAGCAAATGAACAATGCAAAGCAGCTTTAGAAGACCCCTCTGGTCTCTCTAGCTGCAAAAAGAAAATATTTTAAAACACTTTCTTCTCAGTCATAACATATTTCATCTTACAATAAAACAGGATGATATTAAAGTTATAGTCCACCCAAAAATGAAAATGTACACATTATTTACTAAAAACAAATACTACGGAAGAGGGTGTCATGGTGGCACAGTGGGTAGCACGATCACCTCACAGCAAGACGGTCACTGGTTCAAGAACCGGCTGGATCCGTTGGCATTTCTGTGTGGAGTTTGCATGTTCTCCTCGTGTTGTCATGGGTTTCCTCCGGGTTCTCCGGTTACCCCCACAGTCCAAAGACAAGCGGTATAAGTGAATTGGGTAAGCTAAATTGGCCATAGTGTATGTTTGTGAATGCAAGAGTGGATGTTTCCCAGTACTGGGTTGCAGCTGGAAGGGCATTCGCTGCGTAAAACATATGCTGGATAAGTTAACAGTTAATTCTGCTATGTTGACCCCTGATTAATAAAGGGACTAAGCCGAAAAGAAAGTGAATGAATGAAATACAATAGAAGTCAATGGTTAGGGGTTTCCAGTTTTCATCGAAATATCTATTTTTGTGTTTAACTAAAGAAAGAAACTCAAACAAGTTTGTGAGAACTGAAGAGTAATCACTTTCAGTGTAAGCAGTGCAATTAATTTTCTTTGTTTTGGTTGACACTAGACATATTCATTCATTCATTCATTCATTTTCTTTTCGGCTTAGACCCTTTATTAATCTGGGGCCGCCACAGCGGAATGAACCACCAACTTATCCAGCACATGTTTTACGTAGTTCAGTGGTTCCCAAACTGGCGTGTGTACACCTCTAGGCGTGCACAGTCGGACCACCAGGGGTGCATGAGAGAATGTTTGTAATGGCAGAATATTCTATCTTATATTATTTTTATGCATTTCTCTTGGGTAAACTTCACATCATATTTTTGAGAGAAAAGAAATTCACTGAGAGAGAAACAAAAAACAAATTGTAATTTACCTATGCAAACTCACTCATCTCGCAGTTTTACGTCTGTGTCACAATAGCCCCGCCCTTTCACATTGGGAGCTAAGTGATAGTACATTTGTAATTTTTTTTCGCTTACTATATTCCTCAAAATGGACATCTGGTTAAAACTTTCAATTTAAACAAGTAAACAAACGAGGTGAAGAGGCATAGGCGGGAACAGAGAAATCCAGCAGAGATGTACTGATAAAGA